GTATGGTGTCGTCCAAGGACACCGTGGGTGTCAAACTCACGGCGTGCATGTCTTTAAGCGTCGCGACCTCGGCTGCATGTGAGTCATGACTAAGCTTGAGCGAGGCCACCTCTTTTGCTAATTCGGTAAGTTGTAGCAGCAATTCTTGCTCGCGCTCGTCTTTCCTTCGGTTCACCTCGGAGATGGATGTCAGAAGCTACAAAAAAAAATAGTATCACGAGATGCATAGATGAAGTGGCGGGGAAATAGGAATGTTACCTCTGCCACACCATGGTGACTCTTCCTCTCTAGAGCGACGTTGTCAAGTGCTGAAATTTGTTCCTTCTCACTCGCCGGAATTGTCTGTGATAAGAGCGGGGGCAACTCGATGTTACCTCGTAACCAGGTAGTCATCCCCGTAGTAGGAATGTCACCCATGCTCCGGGCGATGCGGGCTGCGGTACTAGGAGCCTTGCGTTTCGTCACGGATGAAGGCACGGTTACGATAGCGTCTTTGCCTTTTGTGACGGAGGGAGCCCTTGGTTTCTTGTCGGCGCGCCCCTGGTCACCACCGCGAGGTGCATCCTTGTCAAAACTTTGGAACATCTCCAACCTCGACATCATATCTGCAAAAAAAAAAGAGGTATGCATATGTGTTAGTTAATACATATGCGTGTGTTATCTTCTTTAGACAAGGTAACTGTGGACAACCTTGATCCGTGGTCGTGGATGCGTGTGCACCCGAACATGGTGACGGCGAATTGAGTCCAACCGTGATAAGGCGGTCCTCGGAAGTAAGAGCAGAGAGGCTATATGGTCCTCTAGAAAGAATCATAGTCGACCATGTCTCCTGGCCAGACAGAAGTTTCGGGTACGAATACTTCTTAAATCGACAATTCAAAGACGATGAAAAAGGTAACAGGGATCCAGATGACACGTATACAAATTCTTCTTTCCAATTAGCTTCGTTGCTGCGAGTGACCTTCCACATGTCAAAGTGGTTCCGCTGTGAGATAGACACCCAGGATAGACTATCAGATGTTGAGCACTGCCCAACTCGGAACATATGCTTGAAGAGGTCTAGGGACGATTCAATCCCAAGTGTTTTACACCGGACCAAAAAAGCTACCAGATACTGATGACCGAGCGGAGTCATGTGACAAGGTGAAATTTCAAGGTCATTTAAAAACTCGATGATCAAAGGGTGTGTGGGGAAGTGAAACCCTAATTTTATGGAAAGAATGTGCACCCCGAAAAAGTGACCCTTGGGAGGATCGGTTACGATATCCTCTGAATTTGGACATCAGAAAGTCACTGTGGACGGAAAAAAAAATTTATACTTTTGAAACTTAGAAACTGAGAGGCGCGACCTGTAGTACATAATGGGGCTCGGGTCTAAGGATGGATACGGGCCCCGGTTGCGACATTTTGGTGGTTTGACTGGAGCATCTCGTGACTTTACGGGACTAATTTCTTCAACATCAGAATTAACATCTGCCAAGGGATGGGGAAGATTCTCCAACAATAATTCACCATCATCACTCAGCAATTCATCGGAATTTATAGAATCTAATATATCCATAAATGGTGGCAGCTATTCAAAAAACAAATATTGGAAGATACGTCACTGCAATTGATGACAAGGACATAGCAAAGGAGTTATGCTCAAAGCCAAAAATATGGAGGAGACTTAAGGGGGAAGTCAAAATTACAAAGAAAAGGGAAGAAAACGGAAAGGGGAACATACCTGCGCACCCTGATAGTAGCAGCAGCGGAATCAGACCTAGGGCAGGACAAGGACGACGCAGGTGACAGGCGGCGGCGACGAACAGTACCTGAGGTCACCAGAGTGCGCCGGTGTAGTTGGGGTGCTCTGTTTGCTCGCAGCGGCCGTCTGAGGCGGATGGCGCACGACGTCGGGCGATTGGACGCCAGTGGCGCGATTGGACGCCGGTGGCGGCGATGGTCGCGCGATTGGACGCCGGTGGCGGCGATGGTCGCGCGATTGGACGCCGGTGGCGGCGGGCGTCGTTGACCGCGGTGGTTGGCGGCGAGCTGCGACCTGGGATATGGCAGAGGAGTGTTGCTCGTGGCCTGCAATATGTCCAGAGGGTTGGAGAAATTTAAGTCATGGATTACACTTTGGTCACAAAATAGAAATTTGAATGATTAAATGGGTAAAAAGAAAAAAAAAAATTTGACATGGTGACCATGTACTTCTATAGCCACCATAATTATCTTAACCGTGGATAAATGTTGATCGGGTTAACTTGGATAAGCGGGTTAAAAATTGAGTGCACGGTAACTATGTACGAATAATGATAAGGTATAAGGGGAGCTCGTACGTGGTGACCACACGCGAGTTAGAAGATAAAAAATGGTACGTGGCGATTATGAACGGAAGTTAGTAGAAGACCAGGGAGTACGGGGTAACCGTGGATGTCATGGACGCTTATCCAAAGAGCACGTCCAAAGCAACCATGGACGCAAGAAGAAGACCAGAGTGCACTATAGCCTTGGATGTAATGTCAAGCTTATATATAGAAGTGTCCACGGTGACTCTGGACATAGTAGTAGAAGCTTATCCAAATGATCAATACATGGTGTCTCTGGACATCATGGCAAAAGCTACATGGCGACTCCGTACGACAAACTACATCAACGACGTCTTTTCAAGATATTCACTCAATCAACAAAGGATTCCGCGGATCCGGATTATTGATTTGTGTATCAATTCGAACATGGCGACCACGTCGCCCAAATCTTTTATGTCTTATTTTCTACTATAAAATCATGTAATCTTGGGAAAGTTAAGGGAAGCGGAATATATTTGAATACAATACATACGATTATCTCTCTAAATATTATTCTGAGTGTTTTAGTTATTTTCGGCTATCTATTAATTATTTTCCGGTGGATTTACTTCCATCAATGACCATACTTAATTATACAGAATTGCCTAAATAAGTAAATTATGAAATTTTCTCAACTTGTAACTAATACATCTAAGCTCTTGACCTCTTGTCTAGTAAATTCTTAGTTATATGGTCAGTAAATTAAAATAGTACTTACAGAAATTTGAACTGTATATAAGCATAATAATTTATTTCGAAAATACAAAATAGTATTAAAAAATTCAAATATATTAGCTAAATCTAATTCATTTATTTCTTCTTTCACTTATTTGCTCATTATACAACTATTTTTCTACATTTCAGCTTCCACTTAATTACTAATATACTACCTATTTATCATGTACACTCGCTCACTTCATTCTAGCTACGGTTTTTTTATCAATATCAATAATGCAATTAATATTTTCAATGATATATTAGATTATACAATAAATAAATCCAAATTATAGAGCTATGTCACAATCAAATTCAAAATGACAACACCAACAAAGGCAACAATGCTATTTTTCTCATTTGGATGATCAAATAAATAAATCCAAATTATAGAGCTATGTCACAATCAAATTCAAAATGACAAGACCAACAAAGTGATATATTGGATTATCAAATGAATCCAAATTATAGAGTTATCACACAATCAAATTCAAAAAGGATAATTATCTAAATAAGAGTAAATAAAAACTAAATTGCAAACATAAGAGTGAAGGTTCAAAACTCTCTAAATTAAGGACCATCAATAAAAAAAAACTCTTTAAATTAAGGTCTCGAATTGTCAACTCACATAGATTGGAGTTCTTAGAAACCTTTTATAAACAAAACTTCGGATAAGAGATTATTCAAAATTGAATCTCATATGTTGGTAGCATCTGGGGAATGTTCCCGAAATAGAACTAAAACAGTTTGAAAATTTCAAAATAGGATTGTCATGTTTTTTATTTCCAAAATAGGACTACCTACTGGCATGTTTAGAAAATACTACCATGTTTGAAGTCTAGTACTGCTAATATATGGCAGTAATTAGTCCTATTTTGGGAATAAAAACATGACAGTCCTATTTTAGAATTTTAAAACTGTTTTAGTCCTATTTCGGGTAATATAATCTGTCAATTCTATTAATTATCACTTTAATTTAATATAATACTACATTTCTAAAAATAGATAAATTATATTTTCAACTAACCTAATTTAGAAAATAATCAATCTTATGGTAAGATAATAAAATATTTTTTAGATGTAATCTCGTTTAAACTGTTTAAGTATTTCTTTAACTATTCTAGTATTCTATGTCATCCATTCAAATATCCGTATATTTTACACAAATTTTTTATGAGCGAACAATTAAATTTTAAATTACTTTTTACTGTTACCGTAATTACATTTAATTTGGGTGAAAGATTGTTACTCCCTCCGTCCCGGAAAATTAGTCTCACTTTGACTTGGATCGGAGTTTAAGAAAGTGGGAATAAAGTGGAAATGTATGATTGTGGTTGAGTAAGAAAAAGGTAAATGAATGTTAGCCACACAAAACTTTCCAAAAAGGGAAATGAGAATAATTTTTTGGGACGGTCCAAAAAGGAAAATGGGACTTATTTTATGGGAGGGAGGGAGTATTTTAAACAACACATATGTGATGTGAGTAGCTTCTGCAAGAAGTTCTTCACATGAAAATCACTCGACTACACTCATGACTCATCTAACTGTTTTAACTACTTTCGGTTGACATCAACAAAATTATAACTACCAAATTATTTCTTTAATTAAAAGGATAGAAAAATTTACTTTTAAAATCGAATTAAATGGAAAGAATGGAATTTATTCTGAAAAAGATAAAAAAAGAAATAAATAGGGGAGTAACGATTTTGAGATTTAAAACGGCATATTCGAAATCCGTTAACCACCGTTCCACCAGAAATATTTCCGCGTTGCGCCACCTGTCAGCTCGCCGATTTTATGTTCCGTACGCGGCGGCCCACCGGTGGTCCCATTACAATCTACTCACTCGCCCGGTGCCTTGCGCATAGAAAGGAACGAACACTGGAGGATTAGTGAGTCGATAACTATAAAACGAGAACGACGATTCGCGTTCTGCATTCTCTCTTCGTAGAGGAAAACTTTGAATTTCTTGTGTTAAAGCCTGTGGAGATCGATTTTGTCAAGAACATTGTTATTTTTCGAGCGGTGAAGGAAGCTGAACCGAAGGAAGAGTTGCAGAGTGTGATGCCGGAAGCTGAGTCGAAGGAAGAGTTGCAGAGTGCGGTGACGGAAGCTGAGCCCAAGGAAGAGTTGCAGAGGGCTGTGACGGAAGCTGAGTCGAAGGAAGAGGTGAAGAGGACGGTGACGATAGTAGAGTCGAAGGAAGAGTTGCAGAGGGCGGTGACGGAAGTTGAGTTGAAGGCCGAGTTGCAGAGGGCGGTGAAAGAGATAATTAGCTCGATTGACATCAATGCCGCCGCCATTGATAGAGCCGAACGAGCGCTGCGCTCTCTGAGGAGCCTGATTGAAAAGAAACGTCGATCATCAGTCGCTGAACAGAGCGCGAGTTCCGCACCAGATGAATTTCGTTGCTACCTTTCCAAAAAAATCATGAAGCATCCTGTTCTTATTGCCAATGGTCAGGTACTAATGCAATTTCGTCATTTTAATCGTATCTTTGAATTGAATTCATAGATGAGTTATATGATTTCTCCTATTCTAGCCGGTAAATTCTTGCATGTTCACACTTATGCTTCTATTTCCCGCTTCTGAATGTTCTCTTGGCTTATGTCTATCTTTGAACTGAATTTATAGATAAGTTTTAGGATTTCCTCCATTCTAGCGAGTAAATTCTTGTATGTTCGAAGTTATGCGTATATTTCCCCGCCTCTGGATGTACTTTGGCTTAAGTCTATCTTTGAACTTAATTTTTAGACGAGTTTTAGGATTTCTTCATTCTAGTCGGTTAATTCTTGTATGTTCAAAGTCATGCTTCTATTTCGAGCTTTTGAATGTCCTTTAGCTTATGTCTATCTTTGAACTGAATTCATAAATGAGTTTTAGAATTTTTTCTATTCCAGCTGGTAAATTCTTGTATGTTTGAAGTCATGTTATTTCTTCTATTCCAGCCGATAAATTCTTGTATGTTTGAAGTCATGCTTCTATTTCCCGCTTCCGAGTGTTCTTTGGTTTATGTCTTGAGTCGTACTAGATGGACGACTCATCCATCATGTAGAGAAATGTACTGAATGATTAAAGTCATGCATCTAGTTAGTTATGTAGAAATGATGTTGTTTGATTAGAACTGGTCATACTAATTCATCATTATTATGCAATTTTGCAGACATATGAAAAGGCATTCATTCAAGAGTGGTTTAAATCTGGGAAAAAAACATGCCCGAGAACCCAACAGGAGCTTTCGCATACGAACCTTATACCTAATCTTCTGGTTCAAGAAATGATATCCGACTGGTGCAAGAGTAACGGCATTCATTTGCAAGACAAAGTAGAACAGCAAGGGATGACTGAGGCTGACCGAAACAATCTTCGATCTTTGCTTCAGAGAATTTCTTCAGGATTGTCTAGTCAAAGAGATGCTGCTAAAGAATTGCGCATGCTGACTAGAAGTATGCATCCTTTTCGGGCATTGTTTGGGGAGTCTGAGAATTTAATCCCCCAACTTCTTTCCCCGCTGTGTGAAACCATAATACAAGAAGAACTCCAAGAAGACATAATCACTACCCTTTTCAACATCTCACTCCATGATGACAACAAGAAGCTTATTGCAGAAACCCCTAAGGTCATTCCTCTTCTTATTGAAGCATTAGGATCCGGGACGATTGCAACAAGGAGCAATGCAGCTGCTACCATTTTCAACCTATCAGCCCTGGATTCCAATAAGACACTCATAGGGAAAGCCGGTGCCCTAAAATCACTCATTTGCCTATTAGAAAATGGGTATCCTTTGGCAATACAAGATGCTGCTTCAGCTATTTTCCGTCTATGCACTCTTCAAGAAAATAATATGATGGCGGTTCGAGATGGGGCAGTGGGTGTTGTAATGGAAAAAATTGTGAACAAAGTTATCGTTGGTGAATTGCTTTCCGTACTTGCTTTGCTCTCAACCAGTCAGAAAGCAGTATATGAAATGATAGAGCTTGGGGCTGTTTCACTCTTGCTTGGTTTAATCAGGGAGACGCCATCTGCTGTCAATAAGGAGAACTGTGTGGTTGTTCTGTACGCAATATTTTTTAGTGACCGAAGTAAGTGGGAGGAGATGAGGGAAGCAGAAAGTAGGCATGGTACATTATCTCAACTTGCAGAAAGTGGTACTAAAAGAGCCAAAAGAAAGGCAAGCGGCATTCTTGACCAACTGAATAAGCCTTCCAATACCACTCATACCGCATGATGAAGACACTTGGATGCACATATCTGTAAATTCTAACGCTTTCATACTCTTTGTGCCTTTACAAATATATTGAGGCATGCTATGTTCGTTTACAACCATTGTGTCTGTGTACATACAAAATGATACAATATACCTTACTAGTCACTGAACATATATACATAGATACCTTGCATTCTGGCATTTTATAAATACTACCATGCCATTTATATTGGTTAAATAGTATGAGGTTTGTCATCACTCACCACGTATGTTCTTGAATGAGTGGGATCTCAAATTTTCACTTCTAGCTTTTTTGTGTTATAGAGTGATCTTCTTGACTGCATTCTAGGTGATGGCAAATATGAATGGGTTTTTTGCTTGAGAAACAATTGTGGCTCCTTTTCTTTGAATTGTAGCTAAATGTACAAACATAAGTTCCTTTAGTTATGAGACTTCTTTCTGGACAGATTCCCTTTTCTTAAGGTTATATATTTGATCTTAGGAATGCAAGTTATGATACAGTATTGGTTGTTCCTTACCTTCATATCCCCTCTTTAAAAACATGCTAATAGGTGGGAGGGAATAGAGTGCTGCCAAAACTTTCTTAATTATTCTATATGGACTTGCTGTTTATTGCATTCTAGCATATGCAACCATGCGCTACATGTAAGGAGCATGTTAGTGTGCTTAGTAAGGAATACGTTGTTGAGGACTTGAGGTAACTGAGAACGATCCAGTCATTTCACTTTGTGAGGTGATCGGATCCTGCTCAACTACCTCAACACTGTCAACAGTGTGTGCTTCATGAGCATGCTGAAATGCTCTTGACCATAGAATTTTTGGATGCTTTAAGGGCTTGTTTAGTTTGGGGATTTCCGGGGTGCTTATTTTTTCTTTGATAACCATCTCTACTTAGAAAATTGGAACTAAAGTAAACATAAAAATACATAATCTAACTAATCATATAGTTATTTTATATGGACTTGGCAGACTGTTCTGTGTACATTTTGTATTCTGAAAAAATGAATAGTAAAGATTTCATGACGAATACTTAAAAGTTTAATTGAACATTCATGACCCTCCATAATGTACAGCACTGGAAGTATGTGTTTCATATGATTTTTTGGTTAATTAAGCAGTATCATTTTGAAAATAAAAAAGATTCGAGGCATTAGCTGTAAACTTGTAACATGCTGTTAGTTGGACGGTATAAGTTGCAAGTAAAGCGAGGCTTGTGGGGTAGGCAACATGACAAACAACCTTGGGTTTGCCAGCAAGTTCACGGGTTTTGCATGGTTATATCTAAGCTCACCTTACTTAGAGGTAAACTAGTCCTGACTGTGTATATAACATGCATTACAAATGCAAGAACCATGAAAATGAATCAAGCATCCAAACATGGCTGCACATTCAGGACTTTATACATTTCTTATGAACAAAAAGGTCAAAGGAAAAAAGTTTTGGTATACATTGAAGCTGAACAAAAGCGTAAAATTAACAATTACAAAAGGGTAAATTATTTAAATATGACTAAAAGATAACACATTTTCCTTCAAATAGGATCATTGTCTTTTTCTAAAAATAAGACTCTTTCACTCCAACTAATTTTATTCTTTTTTAGGACTGAATGAGCCTTATTGTCAGCATAAAACAAGTATACTCCTATTTGTGCACAAGAAATATGTTTTACTCATATTTGCACATAGCTAGCAGCTTGCTGTCCAAAAAGCTGTCCTCTAAAAATGGCAACCTCTCCCGGATGCTACACACAAGTTGCAAAGCTTCATGGTCTAACTTCAGTTCTTTTCGTCTCAAACTCTACAAAATATTAGGGGGTTTATCATCATGAGCTGATGGCCAGTTCTGTTGTAACAGGGTTTATCATTATTATGATTATAAATATACCAAGTATACCTCAGAAGCCCATAGGCAATCCCTTGCTCTACGGGGAATTATATGAATGTGGGTCTGGAATTTGGCATGAAATATAAAAGTAATTACAAAATGTAAGCTCTCTCGCATTTATAACACGCACAAAGTAATCCATGGAAACCCATTCCTTAATAAGAAATGGAGATCATATGTATGTACTTACATGAAATATAACTTGCCCTGCAGCTTCACCATTGTTAACTAACAAATTGAATGAATCTGTCAGCCCAAAATTGAAGCAGTAAGAAAAATTGAGTCAACTTCTCTACCGTAAGATGGGAAATTTCTTAGGCGATCCACCAATCCACCGACCACCAATATGTATTTTTTTAATTTATGTTAATAGTAACGTAGTATCATCATAAGACATTCTTTAAATTCATTTTATTATGTATGATTATGAAAGAAATTCAGTTATTTTGTTACGAACACTTACGTATAACTGTGAAACTTGCATATCCAGTCATTATGAAATAATATAAGTAGAACGATTATAAATGCGTTCATACAACACCTAGTTGTGTTTTTTTAGTAAAATGCATTCGTTAGTAAAATGCATTTGAAAACAATGGAAAGAAACGAGGGGGCAGTTCACACCAAAATAAGCAAAAAAAACTGAATCCAGAAAGAAGGAAAATATATTTACCAGATCCAGTTGCTTTCATGACAGCATTGCCAATTACCGGTACTTTCGAGAACATTTCGGCAACAACCTGAAAAGAAAAACTTCTTGAAACTGTAGAGATTTGAAAGTTGAAACGAAAAATTAAATTAAAAAAGTATTAATAAGATGAAATTCATCATTTCGAAATACACCATTATCACTCAACCCTGTGAAAGATTAAAGGGAATACGTACATACGGTGGAGTTGCTTCAAGATTTGGAAAATGGAGTTTTGGGATAATCAACGAGTGCCTGGCGTTGAAGTATAAATAGTCAGTGGATGACAAAACCCAACGAAAAAGAATAACATTAAAAGCTATCCGCTAATAGTTACAAAAAACTGTGAGCCCATATCCATCGAGACCCAAGAACCACAATCCCTGAGGCTATTTCTGCCTAGAGCGGCATTCTAAAATCCACCCATTATATCATTGAAGCAATATGCTACGTATTAAAGTTCAGGATCATGTATGCGTTATTTTAGTCAGTTTAGGGACTAAAGAAGATACATGAAAAGTTTAGAGTCAATCTGATTTTAGTAAAAAACAGATAGCATGAATATTTAGTCTTGCCTCCATCTTCTACTCTCTTCCCTTGTTCTTCACCTTTTGAACTTAAACTTTGTGATGGTCTTCAGTGAGAAACAGGTTTTACTACATCCCCAAAAAAGCCCTATTTCAGAAACATATTCTTTGTCCCAAAAAACATATTTTCAACTAAAGAAGCTAATTTTCATTGAACCCAAGGTAAATTTCACAAAAATGTGTTTCACACACATAAATATGTTAAAATTAGTTTAAAAGCCAAATTTTGTTCTTAATCTTTGCAGCTAAAATTTGTGCATGTTAGTCATGGAAATATTAACAAAATTCATGTTAAGCTGGGGTATCATGAAATTTAGGATATATAAAAAAAAGAGTCAAAACAGGGCTTTGGTAATGAAAAGATGATGCCTTACCCCCGGCTCAAGGGATTTATATCTAAAATACAAAGGCATACATCATCTTCATATACCTGTAGGCATGAAAATTCCATGCAAAATTAGAAGACTAGAAAGCACAAATAGTAGAGGTACTCACTCACATGCACATATTCCATTTTCTTCTTACGCCCACTTTGACAGACAATAACCAGATTATTAATAAACCTTGATACTTCTAGAATCATTGTTACAAGTCATTTAAGCTAAATACCAGATTATTTCACAAGATTTGGCATAATAAATCAATATATTGTGAAACGTTCTGCAAGTTATCCTCACCAATGCATCACTTGCCTTCACAAAAACAGGAAGTTTGAAAATGACTCATTATTTTAAAATAACCTTGTTTGAGTAAAGTGTATAATCTGAAACTTATTATCAAATAGAAGGGGGGGATTATATCAGTATTTTAAAAATCTCTGATGGATAGGGTACCCGGGGGTAGCTTATCCGGGGGTTATTACGGGGAGTAATAAGAGAGAAGTCAGAGCAAGTAAATATAGAGAGAGAAAGTATATTGTAAAGTGTGGAGCGTTTTCAGCGTGTTATGACTTGGTTACAAATGGGGAAAAGGGGTGCTATTTATAGTAGCAATAAATGCCGGATAGAGACACGTGTCAAGCGTCCATTGGACGAGAGGTCACCTCATCTGGTTGGCGCTGGCAACCGCATGTGGCCGCATTTAATGCGGTTGTTGGAAGGGACGTTTGTACAGGGTACGGTGATCTGTACGCATGTGGTGTGGATATCATGTCGGGCAGGGTGCCCTCGGCTGTAGAGGACTAGCCGAAGGCTCTGAGTTCCGGGGACCCCCTAGGTGCCGAGGGCTCCAGGTGCCGAGGGCTACTGATTTTCGCCGTTTTTCCCAGTAACTTTGTTTTGCTGTCCTGGCCTTCCCGTGAAAGTTAGAGCCTTCGGCCCCTTGGCCGATTGTGGGCTGCTTGGTACTCTAGGTGCTGTGATTTGGGCATGTTGTGCTTTCTGGGCCTGTTGGGCCTTTATTGGAGTGGTAGGAGTCTGTGCGCCGGGGGTTCCCGGGCCATATACTCCATCAATCTCTTTAAAAAGAATTTTTCCAAAAAGATTATTCATGACTGTTGGGCCGATAAATGATCAATATATCATTATTGTGAAACGTTCTGCAAATTATCTCATCTCTTTAAGGATGGATCAATAAATGAATTTGAAAAGAAAAGAAGATATAGTAATTAGTTCAAATAGGACTAAAACTATGGCAAAAACCTAAAATAGGACTTGTTATGTTTTTATTCCAAAATAGGATCATATGAGTCCTATTGGAAACATACCTATTTTTGCACTCCATTCTTACCCTTCCATTAAATATGAATTAAAAATAGTCAAAAGCCATAATTAAATGTTTAATTCATAATAAATTCGAAAAAAAATCAAATATTCGTAGAAATATAATTAAAAAAATTATAAAATTTTTATAAAATAAAAAATTCAAAAACTTTTTTTTAAATAATTTTATTTTTAAAAAAATTAATAAAAAATAGTAAAACTCCGTAAAAAAAATTAAAAAAATATGGATGTCTTTCCCACCGCCTGTACTACCTCCCAGCACCACCACCTCCCGCCGATGAAAAAAATGCCATTTTCCCAGAAAAATGCCATTTTTTTCTGAAAATGCCAACAAAGTGGCATATTTCTCTTTTCGAATGCCAACATTTTCATTTTTTTCTGCCATAAATATGGCATTCGTAATGAACTTGACATTTTTTTCCCCTGGTGACTCGAGGTGGTGGTGTTGAGGCGGCAGAGGCGGCGGCGATTTTTTTTTTGAGTTTTTATTTTTTTTAATTTTTTTTTTTAATTTTTTAAATTTTTTGAAAAAAAAAATAAATTAAATTATTAATATCGAAATGTTTTTCTTAATTTTTTAGTATTTTTTACGAATTTTTATTATTTTTTATTATTTTATTAGGAATTAAAACATTTTAATAACTATAAGGGTATAATTGTCCAAGGTACACATAATTAGTCCTATGCAAACATAGTTCATTTTTTGATCCTATTTGTGAAAAAGTGAATGACTTTTAGTCCTATTTTGATAATTAAATCTTTCAAGACAGTCCGAGTCTTCAGGGGGCACCTAATTCGATGGGAAGTTGGGCGGCTACGTGGAGGAGTCGGGTAGAATAAATATAGGGGGTAGATATCATGTAAAACACAATCAGTTCACGATCATACATAATCATCTTTCATTCAAGCTATTCAAAATATTTCGCATTGTTCATATGGCATTGTTGAATTGATATTTTTATTCTTGATCAAATCATTGTCGATTCATATTTGCCCGATTCCCGTTCAATTTATTCTTTTAGATTAGTTTATTTTTAGCATAAGCAATGACCTCCGTGATCACTTCAGTCCACAATTAGCGGAGCCAGAGTCCGGGCAAAGGCGGGTTATAGAGCATAAAGAGGTGAGTGACGACGTGGAGGCAGGAATGGAACCAAAAACGGTAGGGAGGCTTTGGTTGGAGAAAAGCACCGCCTAACCAGTTGACTATGCAGTCGGGTGAGGACCTGTTGGCAAGTAATTTTTGTTTATGAAGTTAGGATTGCAATTTATTAGATCAAACTTCACCAAACAAACGAATCCAAATCGGGTTCCCTTGCTGGTTTGGATTCGATTTAGCCGGGCCAGTTTTTAGACATAACTTTACACAACAAAATCTGGAAGCATCTTAGAATTGGAAAGAAAAAATCTACAGTATGCCGGCAGTAGACATATAATTTGAGAAAGGGAAGAGGGAGGACCTTCAATGCCGGAGCGTCGCCTCTGACAATTTTGCAGAAGACGCAGTCGTTCTGTTGTTTCTGAGCGGCGCCGGAGCTGGAGGAGCAGCTGGAAACCGAAACCGGAGAAATGGTTTCGGAAAGTGGCGGTGTCGGGGAGAAATGGGAAGAGATGAGAGCGGCCCGGCGCCGCGCCCTTTCCTCCATTTGGAAGACGATTATGAGGAGGAGGAGTGGGAGAAGATGGAATTATGAGTAGCCATGGATTGGATTTGGAGGAGACAAGTAGGCAGAGATCTATGATTGGAACAATGTGAATGGCGGTGTGGGCCACCGCCACGCAGGTGGTTGATGGTCGTTGGCTCTGCCTTATCCAATAGATTTTTTCTCCTACTTTATCTTTCATCAATGTAGGCCGGTTTGACTCATCAATCTTGTTGAAGAATCAATTTCTAGTTCAGCCTCTTTCATTGTGTGGGATTTGGTGAAAAAATTACTTTAAATAATACTATCGTAGAACTAACAATAATATTAGAAATTACTACCTCCGTTCCCATTTTAACTTCCAAATGTGTTTGGCACAAAATTTAAGACAGTGGATATTGTGTAGTGGAGAATTGTGCAGAAGAGAGAGAAATGTGTAAGAAATGTTGTGAACCACAAATTCTTTGCCAAAAAGGGAAAGTTGAAATTTTAATTGGAACGGACGAAAAAGGAAAGTTGGAAGTTTATTTAGGAACGGAGGAAGTACTTTTAATAATACCAACTATCCAAACATAGACCAAAAGATCCGTTATTTAATTCATCAAAAAGTAATATCAAAATATCAAATAAATAATTGTATTTCCAAATATCATTTAATAGATAGTTTGCTATTAGATTTTAATGTCTTAAATGATTGGATTTCTTGATGAAAAGTTGTTCCATATTATTTTTGTTTTATATGCAAATAGTTGGTATTATTAAAAATCATTTTCAAAGTATGTATTATTATTGGTTCATGGAAGATAGTTTGTATTATTTAAAGTTATTTTCCCTATTTTTATTTACTTAATTATAAAAAAATCTATTTGAAATGCATTTTATTAATAAAATAAAGGAATAGTCAATGCAAAAAAAATGTTAAAATAGTCATCTACGTAACTTCATTCAACTCAGTTGGAAAAATAATTTCAGTTTATTTATTTTAATTATTATACAATTCAACATGTGAAATTAAAAGTTTATGACGTCATATGATAAAAAAGGTATTGATAAAGCTGATAAACTGAAAATATAGTTACCAAACAGGCTCTAAATTGTCTAATAATTAAAATGGTTAAGGTTCGCGTTAATTTTGAATTTATATTAAAATAGTTATTCATGAGACGTAAAATGACCATAATGCCAAATTAACCTATACAAAGAATTTACGAGCTACTCCCTTCATCCCATAAAATAGTTCTCGCATTGAATTGGATCAGAGTTTAAGAAAGTGAGAATAAAGTGGAAATGTATGGTTGTGGTTGAGTAAGAAAAAGGTAAATGAATGTGAGTCACACAAAACTTTTCTAAAAGGGGAATGGGGACTATTTTTTGTGACGACCCAAAAGGAAAATTGGGAACTATTTTGCGGGATAGAGGAAGTATCATATAGCCTTAAAATTTGAGCGTTTTAAATTGTCTTTTTAAAATGATATATCTCATCTCATAGTATAGTGTGAAATTTTGGTGTAATTGTGGTTAATTTGTTTGGTTTTATTTGTTTGGTTCTAGTGGTTGAAATTAGCCCGTATATAGCCTAGTTTGACCCATTTATTAACTCGTTGAAAATTGAAATGTTCTCTTATCTCAACTTAATATCAAACAAATTGATGAAATGGTTACTAACACAAGAGGAGGTTGAATTGTGTTTGTGTGCAATCGTGGCAGTTTTTCGTCAGTTCCTAGTGTGGGGTAAAGGATCAGACAGAGTAAATAAGTGCATAAGGATTTCACGAGGAAAAATCCTTTGACTCAAAAGGGATTAAAAAATTTCGACCTCCATCGGAGGAATTTTAACTTCACTAAAAGCATTTGAATGGTTACAAGAGAAACTCTCTTAGTCTACCCTTCAGCCACCTCAACTCTATCATCTCTAGGAAGAGTTAAACTTTTTTACCTTGCGAGTAGAGAGCCTCTCAGCATTACAACAAAGCTCTCATCACACACTAACCAACCCGAGAATGCTACACTTAGCCAATCCTCCAAGACCTCATTACACAGAGAAGGGAAAGTAGGAACTATATCTAGAACTCTATGTGAGCAATTTCAGGTGCCTTGAACTTCAGTATTTCTTCAGTGAATATGTCTATAGAATTCTCTCTTAGTCAAGCACCCCTTTCTTCTTCTTGATGAGATCCGTTGAGGCTTTCTTTCCTTGATATGATTTGAATGTCCTTCCTTTTTTGTGGAGATTCTTCCTTTTAAGTGCAACAGACTCATACATACAGATATGGATCATATTTCAAACAAATATGCTTTCACATAAAAATATATACCATCATATATTAAGGGATGTAATTATTCACTTAACGTGCACAATGATCTAGTCATGCAATCATACTTAGCAGCCAGTGATCCTTTCCATAAAATGTCAAGCTATATGGAACAAGTCAAATATTGGATATGTATCTAATCATGCATGCAAAGAGATTTAAATGAATCATGCTTCACTTATAAAATAGTCATGCACGAAAAGATCCTTGCTTAAAATAATCTAGACTAAATAATTGGCCTATTAAAACTGGTGAGCACATAAGCAAGGTATTTATCATTTAATTCAACAATCGTATAAGCAACCCATATAATAATTGATAGTCAAATAGGTGCAAGCACATTTAATCAAGCCAACCGTCCACACATAACCATGAAAGTTTTGTCCTCCATTCCTTATATAAGGAACTGTGAGCGGTTATGTCCGTCGTTCCACCTGCATGTTTAGTCATCAACAAAACCACATACTCAACAAATTCCCCCTTTTAGTTTATGACAAACATTAGGTGCCATATAACTTACCCTGCAGATTAATAGTAAACAGAAATAGTAGCAGCAGTTGTAAAGTAGGCCATCAAAACATAACGAGGCACTGATTTTTCCCTTTTTGACATCACACAAAAGGAAACAGGAAGAATAAAAAAATAGTGCCCAATAGTGAGATAAAAATTAGAAAGTAATGTAAAGTAATATCCCCTCCCAAAATAGTTAATTAAGTGTCAAATTACTCCTCATCCAATAAGGAGACAATCCTCCTAGCCAGGCCACCATCAACCTCGCGCGAACTGAACTTCTCAATAGCATCAACTTTGAATGTTTGAAGATCACTCCGAATGATACCAGTAGATTCCGCAAGCTGGTCCACTCTACTTGCCAGGCTATTGAGAGATTCTTTATATAACCCCTATTCAGATATATTTCCTTGAATTTGGCAGCAGCTTCTTCAGCAATTTTGCCCATCTTGGGATATTGTTTGGTGGTGGATTTATCTGAGATAATTCCCATTGCTATGACCTTGTTGCGAGTTACCTTCCGGGGCAGAGCCCTGCGTTTCCTCATCATCCAGTCTGGATGGCTTGTGGTGGTCGCAGGTGATGCATGGGTCTTGGTTGGAGAGGGTCTTGTGGTGGTGTTTCAGATTCAGCTTCAGCAGCCATGGGGTGGTTTAGGCTTGCATCCATGAGTGGAGAATTAGGTTCAAGGTTAATGTGGACAGGTGAGGAAGAAGCGGTCGGTTGAGAGTTTTTGTTTCGCAAAGAACGACGAAGTGCGGTTGGGGGAGCTCTTCCTCTAGTTTTAACCATGGCTGAAGAAGATGAAGAGCTTGAGTGGAGAGATGGGTGGTTGGACGAAGTGGCTTTTCTTTGGTAACTAGATCAGAATATTTGGTTATTTTTCGGGAAGTGGATCGACGTGGGGATTTGGGGCGCCGAAAGTGAATTAAGTTATCCCACTTATTACCCACCCTTGTAGTAACACGTTTAAAAATTCAAAATAAGTATGCCAAGAATAATCAAGACTTGAGATATATAGGAAATTAGGCAGTAATTAAAAAGGGTGTGCCGATTTGTCTTCTTAGAAAAATTGATTTCTTTCCAATTCTCAATAACATATAATTAGTACCAACCCGTTTAGGAGACTGGTTTAAAACAAGATTCGAAAAGGTAAGCAATTTTAGGAAATAAGACAAATAATATGTAATTTAGGAGATAGAAAAGACTAGATAGATAATTTATGCAATGATTAGGCCGAGTTCAAGTCTAATTAATTCAAACATTTCTCTTCCCAAGGGCTTTGTAAAAATGTAGCAATACTCTAATCGAATCAGCCCTTTCTCCACGCAATCTCTCAGAAAGTGATGGTGAATATGGATATGCTTTGTCTGAGAGTGCGTGACTGCGTCTTTTGAGATACTTATAGCGTTGGTATTGTCACACAAAAATGGTGTGCAATTTAAGGATATTCCAAATTCACTTTCTTGTTGCATGATCCATAGAGATTGTGCACGACATGATGCTGCTGATACGTACTCGGCTTCAGTCGTTGAAAGAGCGACTGAATTTTTTTTAGAACCCCATGAAACTAGGCATGGACCCAGGAAGTGAGCCATACCTGACGTTCTTTTCCTATTGAGTAGATCACCTACAAAATCAGAATTTGGATATGCAATAAGATTAAAATCTTCATTACATGGATATTAGAGACATAGATTTGTGGTCCCCTTGAGATATTTGAGGATCCTCTTAACCGCTTTGAGATGAGACTCTTTAGGGTTGGCTTGGAACCGAGCACATAGACCTACACTGAAATGTATGTCAGGTCTAATGGCAGTTAGGTACAGTAAAGACACAATCATTCCTCGATACATCTTTTGATCCACGTTTATTCCTTTTTTATCTGCATCCAACCTGTCATTCGTTCTCATGGGCGTTGTCATTGTTTTGCCATTATTCATCTCATACTTCTTTAGTTATTCTTGTAGGTACTTTTGTTGAGACACTTGAGTTCCTTTGCTAGTTTGTTTGATTTGTAAGTCAAGGAAGAAGTGTAGTTCCCCCATCATACTCATCTCAAATTTGGAACTCATAAGAGAAGAAAACTCATCTCAAAGAGAATCATTAGTAGCTCCAAAAATAATATCATCTACATAAATCTGAACAACCAAAAGGGCTTGATCTTTTATTATTAGAAAAAGAGTTTTATCTATTTTTCCTCTTTCAAAATTATTTTCCAAAAGAAATTTGGATA